GCTGCTAATCCCAGCGGATCATAGATTTTCGCCATAGTTCTCAGGACGATTCTTTTCGTAACTTCATTTTCGTTTGGTGGAAATGTCACTGACAAAGTGTCTTCTGATTTGTTCCAGCCTAATCCAAGAAGTTTGGTCTCCGATGGTGTTGTCCCTAGACTTTCCTTCGCATAGGTAGTTTCTCCATCTTCCTTTACATCACTTTCTAATTCTGCGGCGTTCGAATGCCATTTATGTAACATGAACCCACCTTCTCCCAGGATTTTTACAGCATCTTCTTTAATTTCTCTCGTTTCTTCCACTGTGTCGCTTGCAATGTTTATATCGTCCACGTATGTACCATCTTTAAGCTCTCGAACACAAATCGGATGATCTTGTGAGTACTTCTCTAGGTGAACGTTCAATGTCCCTCCAAGAATGAATGGACTTGGACCCAGACCAAACATAAGTCTTGTCATGCGGTAGATCTTCTCTTCTTTGGTGTGCAAGTTATTTATCCACAGGAACCTCAAGGCGTCACGTTCGGTTTCTCTGATAACAATCTGAAGAAACGCTTGCTTTATATCTCCAGCTAATAGCACAGGTTTAACTTTCGTTGAAGTGGAGGGCCAATCTCTAGACAGTCATTCAGTGACGGACTATCTTCGTTAACCTTTGCGGAGGCGTCGTAGACGATACGAACTTTTGTTGATTCAGCTTGTTCCCGAACGACAGGTTTATGTGGAATGTAATGTTCGTGCTTCTCGTTTGGTTCTGTTGGTGCGATCTCTACAATTCCCTGTTCCACTTGGTCTTCGATAATTTGATGGTATGTCTCAGTAAGGCAGGTTGTTTATCCAGTCGCTTCAGTAGTGACTGAAATCTCGGTCGTGCAACGTTGATGTTGGTTGGTAATTTGGGATGGCTAGCTTTCCATGGTAGTGCTGTCTCGTATTTTCCATCTTCTCTCCAAGTTAACTGTTCTTTGAACTCCTCAAGCACGGTTGTTTGATTACCTTCAGGTCGATCCTTGAGCCCCAGAACATCTAAACTACAAAGTTCCATGTAGTCTTCGTGTGTGCTTCTCGTTAACATTAAATATGAGTGATTCATTTCCCGTCCCTGCGACATGACTGTCCACCCGAGTCTCGTTCTCTCAGCCACTGGTTTTCCATCATCTCCAACTTTAGCCGGTGTGGTTGTTTTGACTCGTGAATAATCACTGGCACCCAGTATCATGTGAACTGGCAACATTGGCTTCGTGTCAACATCGTCCATCTCTATGCCTTCAAGGTGTGAATTACTGGCAATAACTTCTCTATAACGTGGATTTTGCAAGGTCAGCAGCACTGGTCGATCAACACAATTCACTTCAGACGACATGCTAAAGTTTTTATTAATGTTTGTGATTTCAACATTGTAAACATCAATCGTCTTCGTAGTTGTATGCAACATCATCTCTATGGTTTTGATCTCTTGTCTAATTGGCTTCTTTTTTGTTAAGTTCATCAACGTAGAAGATACATAAGAATTTCCTGAACCAGTGTCCAGTAACGCTCGACATTTTACTCCTTCTACTTCAACAACTACTACAGGATATATCACGTTGGATTGGTTCGGTTGGCACATTGTAGGGCGTGGTTCAGCTTTGTCACAAATGGATGTATGATGTTTACGTTGGCACTTGTAACATTGGGTATTACTTTTGCACTCTCTTGCTCTATGTTTTTCTCCCGTACAGTTGAAACACCGTCTCTTTATGCTTAGTATTCTCTTTCGCTGTCCGACATCGACAACTTTGGTACATTCCACTGATCTATGGTCGTCATTTTCACAATATACACATTGACGTTGTTTTACGTGATCTCTTGTTGCAAATTGATTGTCTCTTTGCTTAAATTTTGGATGTTGGCCGCCATCTTTATCTCCAGGTTGTAGGGGATTGCGCTCGACCCATTGTCGTAAAGCTTCGACAAGTTCCGTAAAGGTCCATTTCTTCCAGTCTTTTTCAGTTCTAATTAGATCAGCTCGGATACCCACTAATTTGTCCAAGGTCATTCGCACATTACCGGCAACTTGTTCCAATTTCCCCAGTGTTTCCAACGCTTGAACATGTCCCAAAAGGTTATCGTAAAAATTGTGTATCTTGGGTCTTGAAATTCCAGTAATAATTGGCAATGACATTATTTCCTGAATATGGGCATTCACCACTTCACTAGAGTCACCATATCTTTGTTCTAAGAATTCCTTGGCTTTCTTATACCCTACACCGTCAGCTGGTAATTTCTCAATTGTTGCACGTACCTTGGGTATGACAAGTTCCTTCAAATACGAAAATTTAGCTTCATCTGGAATGGATGTTTGATCAATTTGAGTTGAAAAAAGACTCCAAAATCTTACCCAGTCAAGATATGTTCCTTGGAACTTGGATATTTGCAAATCTGGTAATTTCGGTTTCACGCGTTTCTTTTCTGCTATTTCCAATTTCTTTTCCTCAAGTTGTAAAGCGAATTTTTCCTCACGAATTCTTTTATTGTTCTCAGCTTCCTGTTCTTCTTGCCTCACCCAGTCTCGAATAATAGATTCCTCGTTTAGCTTGTCGTTACGAGCCTTTTCCTTGCGTATAGTTTCGTCATGTTTTAGCCTTTCGTCGAGCTTTTCGACCGCATTTTCATAGAGTTGCACTTGTAATTTCCTTTCCTGAGTCCATTGATCGATTGCTTCATCGCTCTCGTCGGAATCTAACTTTAAACCTTGTATATAGTTTGTATTAAATCGTACGCTTCGTCCAGTTTGGTTTTAAGCAAAGTATATTGTCTGTTTATTTTCTCACTTCCGTACTCACTTTCTAGAGCATCAGCCGTAGATCGGTTAAAATAAGCGAGCTTTCTCAACAACGATTTGAAATTGGCTTCTGTTGACTCGATGTCGTTTTGTGCGATGGTTTGTTCTCCTTGGCTTCGACGTCATTTCGCGATTGCCGTGTTAACATCTCGATCTCTGTATTTGTTTACATATACCACGTAATTTTGCTCTAACTCGATTGTTGTGTAAAATATCCCGTTTTACTTTTGTCACAATATCCCGTTTATTGAGTTAATCCCGTCTGGAGGTGCCCTTTGTGGTAGATTTTCGTTCGATCCCCACAATAAGAGCAAAATTACGCGTTTTTCTTTTGTTTTGTATTATAATCCCTTCCCAAATCGCTCCCAGTTACATATATTCCCCATGCAATAACAATTAACAACATTCCTTTTTATCTCATGCCTGTCAATCAATTTCCATATATGGCAGTCACCTCATCTCTAAATTTAACTACTAATTATTAATGTCAACCTTTTTCCCGACACTCGCTTAAATCGGGCCAGTTCGGATACCGGGCTGGCTCGCCCCATAAACAGCCTTTTGCAGTAAAATCCTATTGTTGATGATCATGTCTTCATTTAACCCCTGATCAAACCAGAAGGAGAGTGCACGAGAGTTAGCAGTCACCCGACCTTGGTGAGCTGTTCTTAATACTGATGATCACTTTTGTTTCAGAATGCCAATCACAAACATCTTCGATTAGCTAGGTACTTACTGTTCTTAATTGATCTTTCCCAACACTATATTAAGGCCTAATTCCACGACGAATGAAATGCGAAATATTTCGCTCGAAAACACACTTGTGCGAAAATTTTCTCTCGTATAGTGAGTTTCCACAGTAGAGAAAAAATTCGCCAAAACACAAGCATTTGATTGGTTTCGCTAATTTGTCATCCATAACGCAAGCATTTGATTGGTTTCGCTATTTCCATTTCGCAAGGGAGTAGAAACGAATTCAACTACCCGGCGAAGAGAAATATTTCGCGGAGAAACATTCCAAAATCATGTTGCGCATGCGTTCAACCTTTTCGCGCGAAATTTTTCGCATTTCGCTCGTCGTGGAATTAGGCCTTTATACAGCTACTTCAATTAAGGCTGGGCCAGCAGCCTTTCGCGCTCGTATTCGACTTTTCCGCTTTGCTTGGGGACAACCTTAATTGAATACCTAGGTACATGTATTGTATTAAGTTGAAACATGATTGGAACATTACGGCCATTTATACGTGACAAAATAAGTCGCGACTTACATAAGACGCGACTTAAATAAGTGGAGTTATCGCATAAATGGTTCTCTACGGCTTTGGTCTTATTTATTTGCTATATATAGCTATAATGTTGTTTTGGTTGTTTTTGTTTTAATATGCAAGGCATTAAATTTTACGTTGTTTCAAGTTTCTGGCATGTGTAGTTAGAGCCGTTAGACTTTTTGTCCAAAATTTCTTATTTAAGACGCGACTTAAATAAGAACAGCTAAAAGACCTGTTCTTATGTAAGACGCGTCTTATCCAAGACGCGTCTTACATAAGAATTTTCTCAGTACCTTTTATACCACAAACTCGCGTCTTACTTAAGTCGCGTCTTATGTAAGTCGCGTCTTATTTTGTTCCGTATAAATGGCCCTATTGTCTGTGTAGGGCAGTACCCGAGCTCGAGGTATTAATTAAAAATAATGACCGAGGTCACCGAGCGCGATGTCATTATTTTTAATAATACCGAGAGCGAGGGTATTATCCAACTTAATGCACATTAGGGCCATTTATACGGGACAAAATAAGAAGCGACTTACATAAGACGCGACTTAAATAAGACGCGAATTTGTCGTATAAAAGGTACAAAATTCTTATGTAAGACGCGTCTTACATAAGAACAGGACTTTTAGCTGTTCTTAATTATTTAAGTCGCGTCTTAAATAAGAAATTTTAGACAAAAATTCTAACTACACATGCCCGAAACTTGAAACAACGTAAAATTATTAGCCTTGCTTATTCGAACAAAAACAACCGAAACAACATTAAATTATAGCTATAGCAAGTAAATAAGAATAAAGCCGTAGAGAACCATTTATGCGATAACTCGGCTTATATAAGACGCGTCTTATGTAAGACGCGACTTATATTTTGTCCGTATAAATGGCCCTATTGTGGTTGTTTATGAACAAAGAAAAGTATGCAGCGGGTTACAAGTCCATTGTTGTGGTAATTTAAGATTCACACGTTGCTTGACATGTTTAAATTTATAATACTGTACTGTATACAAAATTTATGAATGTATTTAATTTGTATTTTCGGGCCGAATGTTTTTCAACAGCTATCTAGTAGAGGTGTGCAAATCCGATCCGAAACCGACCGAATCCGATCCAATCGGATTCGTTCGGATTTCGGGACCAAAATATTCATTTCGGATCGGATTGATAAAGGTGTTTCGTAGTCGGATCGGACTTCGATATCCGAAATAAAATGAATTAATTCGCTGCATTATTCGTTTGATACTTCAATTGGACGTCACTTTGTCAGCTTCTTGACCGCGACGTACTAGGGCATTTTTTAAGAATTCGTCAGTGGGGGAGCATCTACAAAAAGGGACCATACTATACCAAAGCCCCGTTTACACTACGCTCAATTTTTGGTACGGCACGGATAAAATTGGTACCCGTACCACTTTTTTGGTTCTTGGACTACCTATTTAGGTAGTCCAAGAACCAAGAATTAAGTGGTATGGTACCAAAAATTGAGCGTATAGTGTAAGCGGGGCTTAGCTAAATAGCTGGTCCAAGAACAAAAAAAGTGGTACGGGTACCAATTTTATCCGTGCCGTACCAAAAATTGAGCGTAGTGTAAACGGGGCTCAAGTGTGGAGAAATGATAGATGGTTGTTGGTAACAAAAAGTTTGGTGTGGTATCGCATTTAATAGTAGGGGGTCTGGGGGTATTCTCCCCCAGAAAATTTTTGTATTTTTCTACCCCTATGACTGCAATTCCTGCATTTTCTGAAACAGATTTTTGGATATACATGCAGCATTACATTATGCTGTAGATAGACTGAACCTTCAGTGAAATACTTGTATGATATGTTTATGTAGATCGGCGACCACAACTTGGTCATTCAGGGGGCCAGCTTGATAAACTTAGGGGGCCTGACTCCCACGAAGCGCCACCATGCATGGTTCGGTTAGCACAGAGCGGGAAATTTTGAAAATTTTGTCTCTCTAAATCGTCGAAAATGGCATTTTCAAAGTCTTCTCTACCTCTTTTGTTAGGCCCTTTCATTAATTCTTTATTATGATTTGTGAGTCTATGCTAGTATCCGTGAGTATCCGATATATATATATATATATATATATATATATATATATATATATATATATATATATATATATATATATATATTTCAAATATCTGTAATCGATATCTGTAAAATACTTCTGAACATTAAAGCTTGTGATGGAGAGAAGTGAATTTTCGGTTTATATATATATAATCAAATATCTGTAATCGATATCTGTAAAATACTTCTGAACATTAAAGCTTGTGATGGAGAGAAGTGAATTTTCGGTTTATCCTTCGGCTCAGTGGCAGTGACAGTGTGCTGTACGGCCTACGTTTAAACCGTTATACAGTACATAAGTACTGCTTTGAATTCACATTCTTTCAATCCGTTTTGAATATTCGGAATCATTCACAATCACAATATTATATACTGTAGACGATCCGAAAACCTATTCACCCCCCACCCCTTAACTAAACATACAATTCGGTGTAAGGTTTAAAAATTGACATGTATTATACTATTATTCTATATATAATTTAGGTAAAACTCTAAAAGAAAAGCCGTACAGCTGCATATGACATTTGGTTAAAAAATTAGAACGCTGACTTTTTCGCGTTCTCTTTTTTTTTGTCGTAAACAACTCCATATACGGAAGTTTGTTCCATATATGGAGAAAGACGAGGAAACAGATTTTTAAAAAATGCTGATTTTAAAAAATGCTGATTTAAAAAAAATTACGAAAATCTTTATAGAGGTATAAACTGTTCACAATTTTAGCACTTTTTGAGCACTATTTTGGGATTTTGAGCACTTTTTGAGCACGTTTTAGCCCTTTTTGCCAGAACTTTGTTTGGATTTTACCAGCGCAATCGGGAAGGCCTAAATAATAGCTCGAATAATAGTGCATTTCGATATGCGTGCGTACTCGACCAAGTATTTGGGAATGTATATGCTTTTTACACGTACTCGACTTCAAAAGACAGTAAACGGCTGTACGATTTGTTAGCTTACTGGACCAAAAGTAAACGGCTGTACGCATATTATTGTAACGCATATTGTGTGTACTCTATCTAGTTTAGGCTACAGTCAAAATGTCCATCACATGTATCTAAAGACTAAACTATCAAACTTTATAATTCCATCGGAATCGAAATACTGGTCTACATGCGGCTGCCGGGCAGTATTTTTAAAATACTACGTGCCCGGCAGTCAGCAAACACGTACAGCACACTGAGCCGAAGGATAAACCGAAAATTCACTTCTCTCCATCACAAGCTTTAGGGAAGCCTCACATATCGATTTTGTCCATGAGAAACGTCATATGTTCGTTTCTCTGGAGACCCCCCACCCCCCCTTAGAAACGTCACACATAGTTATCGATATTTTGTTCTTATAGTACACATAAGGTAATTTTCTACTATTTTTTTCGGTCGGCTATTGGCGATGCTTCCGCGAGGAATATGTCATCTTCTGCTGACATACTCTTTTTTATTAATATATATGTGAACTTCAAAATTTCCAACGTTTCTCAAAACAACTTTTTTTGCATGAAATATTGATAATTTTAGCGGGTATTTCTTGAAAATTGAGTGTTTTCAAATGCAAAGAAGGCGTAATAATA